TCCATATAGAAAAGAAACTGCTAAATCACTGTCAGATGCTGGAATGTTGATGAATCAAACACCTAGCCATTTGCAAAAGCTGAGGACGCTTCACTGATGATGCTCCAAGTAACCACAAATGGGGTTCAAACCCATCTCTGGACACTACAGCTGGGTGGTGAACAAGATAAGGGAAGATGCTGAAAGGAGGCAAATCGTGTGAGGTGGGATAGTGCTTTTTATCATGCCAATGTCCTTACACAAGTGGCTCAGCTTCCCACACAGCCTGAAGGCACTCATCCTTTCTGGTAATTGACTCAACTACATTGAATTAAGAGGCAGCTGTAACATTGCTGTGTCCCATGATCTGCAGTATTATATTATCTGCCTAAAACTCCCTACTCCAGCAGAGGTATCTGGGCTTTCCACGGAGCCTGAGTGTAGTGTTTACCCACTGGACTTTGTGCTGCATGCGCTTCCCTCAGCGCCAGTGGATCAAGACTGCGATCACTGCTTCAACCAACAGATATAGAAATTGCAACAATCACATCTCATCTCTGGATCCACATGTGGTGAATATACACCTTTCTAATATTATCCTTTCTTTTTCTTTCTTTTCCTTTATACATTCTCTTAAGTGTTAATTTTTATGCTTTTATACTATGGAATTTCTAACCAAAACTGCTACATTTCAAAATTAGCTGAATATCTTATTCTATCTTAAAGTTCTAAAGTTTGCAAGTAGAAGTTTGATATTGAACCTCCTAAGAATTTTGATTTTTTTTTTTTTTTTTCTTTTTTCCCATGCACTGCTCAGAGTAAATCAAACAACTTTTTCCAAGTGGACCACAACATAACAATGACTCAACAGCTTACAAGTACTTTGTGTAAATAACCATTAAGAAGAGTCAAAGCCCTACATAAGTGTGGCGCTATTCAATACTAGCCACGTAAGGCAACTTTCTCATGCCCTGTGTATTTTGGGAAAATGGGGATCCACCTCCGTTTGACATAAAAGCACAATAAATAGCAAACACCTGCATGATGCAGGTTGTCCTGATCTCAGCACAATGTGCTCAGTTACTATAGCATGACACCTCCTTTGTTTCAATCTGACAGCACCAGAACTGCAAGTTGCACATTAAGTCATCTGGAACTCCCTACTGCCATACCCATCAGCAGCACAAAGCTGAAGTGAGGTTTGCACTGTCCCTGAGCTGTCATCATGATTGCCACAGCAACCATACACTGTGGTACAGGAAAAAGAGGGAACAGTAGAGGCAAGAGGAAAATATCTATTACTTGCTGCCATGAGCTAGAGATGGGATTTTACCTTTTTTCTTTTAGTGGGAAATGAATCAAATTGTATCTCTTGCCTCTTTGTGGAAATGTGTTCCATGAATGAATGCATGCACACAAACCTATCCCCACCGACCACACTCTCTTCGTTCTGCAATTCCTTCTTGAAAGGCAGTAGAAGGCAATGATGCTATCAGTTTGCTTAATATAGTCACTGAAACTTCAACTATTCAAGGAAACAAATTAAGTGGAAAATGGCCTTGGTAGTAATAAGAAAACAAACTTAACCAGCAGGTGGCACACACTTTACTGCTGGAGTTAATGTGCCATTTTTTATCACTAAGGTGTTTAGATTGGACCTATCCTGATCCACAACAATGTCCATTTTCTATTCAATGAATAAAAGATTAGGTGTATTCACTGACAAAACACTATTTTGGAATAAGTAGTTTTACGGCAAACATCTGTCACTGCCACAGTTCTGATTGTTTTCAAGGATGCAGACCTTTCTGGCTTGCCAAAGGGGCCTTTCCCTGTGGCTGCCCAATGAAGCTCCACAGACAGACCCATGCAGCTTGCTGGAAAACACATTCCAGCTTCTGAGAAATTCACATAATGATTTGTGAACAAAGCACTCCAGCAAGATTCCAGCCCAAGCTGAAAAATAAAGTGCTCCCAAAAGAGTAGAGCAGCCTGAATTTGCCAGAAAACTCAGACACCAGATTTACTATCTTTAAGGGACAATACTAAGACTAATTTGTTTATTGAGACAGAAGCAAACACTCCTTTGAAAGCTGAAAACAGACTTCTGAGCTATTACCCAACACAATGTGTTTTTCAGGGATGGTTGAAGTGAAGTCTCCTAGGCTGCTTCCTGACTACTTAGTTTTAGTGACCCCTCATACTGTTACATTACCATAAAATAGGTCTTGGCATAAACTTTAGAAAAGAATTCTATGTAAATGTGACAGTAGAGAATCACCATAAATAAGCTATAAAATAGTATCCTACCCTTGTAATCTACAGCTATATGTACGCAGATATGTGTAGTCTACTTCATTTTAAATAGATTTTTAAACCTTAGCCCACATTAAGCACCTTGGTCCAAATACATTTCTGAAAAACTCTGGTACTTTTAATGTCAACTCAACAGATAAGTATGTAATTTCATAAAAATTATTCATTGAATCGAGAAGTGAAAATTCCTCTGTCTTGCAAATCTAACACACCTAGATCACTCCCCTTCTAGGGCCTCACCTATTCATTCATCCTCTCTGCTTCAGCTTTCATTAAACAAAAAATTTAAACTTAATCAAGTAAATGGAACATTACACATAATAATAATAATAATAATAATAATAATAATAATAATAATAATAATAATAACAACAATAACAACAACAACAACAACAACAACAACAATAATGCTTTCTGGGCGTACAATTCAGAGATCATTATTTACAAGTGAAATCCAAAATGTCAGAACTTGAAAAATCTCATGATCTGAGAAAAGGGGCAATTTTTCCTATGATTGTGCTTTTTCCCTGGCTACAACACTTGCATCAGATTTATACAACTGATGCCAGACTTTTCACACATTTTAAGCAGGTAGAGAAGGAACAATTATTTCCAAGAAAGCTTTTTGTTCCTTGCATTTGTTTCTTGCATTTTATTTTCATTCTCCTCATCTGTGATTCAGTTGTATTGATGTACCTTACGAGCATCTTCTTGGCTGTACTCTGTTTGCACTCAATTATTTAGTGGCACACAGAAATAAGACAAGCTTCTCCTGCGCTGTCTGCTTTGTTCTCCATCAATCCAGCAGCTGCAAAATCAGAGAGGCAGGCACACTGACCATGAACATAGAGAAAATAGCTAGATCAATCTAGCTGCTGCCAAGCTCTCTGAGGTAATCTGTTGCATCTTCCTTCTATTTTTTGAGGGGTTGATCAGACTAATGATGGTCAGCTCATCAAGCAGTGTTTTTCCTTAAGTCAACAACCAAATCAGGGGGTCAAGCTTGAGGAAGGACAAAAGCTGGGACAGATGTGGCAATGTGAAGCATCTAGTTTTGTAGGAACAAAAGACATCTTTGAAGTCACCACTCACCCCTGGAAGTACTTCACAACCCCAACATCATCCATTTCCTCTGGTTATGCTGCCTTCAGCACCATGAGCACCACCTTTCTTTTGCATACATACAGGAGGCTGTGAGTCTTACAGGACACCATTAGCCTAGCAACCACACCTGAGACATAAAATCTTCCCAGCTTGCCAGTGTTAGAATTAGCTGAGTACAACTTAGGTACTAGACAGAAACAACTGTTCTAATGTATTATATTTATATATAGTTAAGCTAGTGTTACAAATTCAAATTCAGAATACTTAATTTTGGGTGCACCATCTCCTGAGTAATAGCTCTTCACAAGATTAGTAGGTGGAGAATGTCAGTGGTTACAAATGGTGGATATCTGCAAATGCACAACCTTGCTTGGACATAAAATCTTAATGTGAATTCTACGGATGGAATCTTCACAGTTATTTCTCAGTAGCAGGGTTTGTTCAAAGCCTGACAATCTGTTCTGTATTTAGATGTCTGGAATAATCAAGAATTGCATTTCACTAGTCTAGATAATTCAATGTCTTCCTCTGCTTTCTATCTGTCATTCCTTTTTCATTCCTGCCTTTGTCCCCTTTTCTCCATTCCTCACTCTCTTCCTCAGTCTTTTCTTTTATCTTCTATCTATAGGTATGCTTTTTATGTCTATATGCAGAACAGTCGTTTACAAGTAGGTGCTATTATTATTACAATTAAATATTATTATTGCTACTATTATCATTACTACTACTACTACTACTACCACCACTATTACTACTACTGCTACTACTACTACTACTACTACTGCTACTTCTGAAATGCCCACAAAATAATTAATGCTGTTACCCTAAAACACTCACTCTTTCTGATCAGTGGATCAGAAATGTTACAGCAAATTTGCTTTAGGGTATTATCATCAACATGTTCTCAGTTCTCAGAAGCTGTGATGTGAACCAAACCCAAACCTTAGAAGAAAGTTTAAGTTATAAAATTTAAGCATGTCTGTCCAGTCAGTTTGTGACAGATAAAATCCCCCAGAAATGAATCACAAATTTTTTCATTGTGCTTTTTCTTCAAAAATATTTCTGCAAAAGCAGCCTCATTGATCTCCAAGAAACTGTTGAAAGATGTTGTCCTTTTCAAGAAAATACAAGCATGTGTTCAAGGGATAGCCTTGCCACTGCACAACATGAGCCTCAGAGACAAGCTGCTTTCCTTTCACGTCACATATCTTCACAGTAAGGTAATAGCCCTTGTGATACTTCTGCAACTCTACAGCACCTTTAAAATACAATCCCAGAGACAGATGCATAATTATGCCTTTTCTGCTTTCTATAGTTGCATGAAATATAACTGTAGTCATGATATGCCTGAGGATGACTGAAAAATAGTAATATCCTTGTGCCACTAGCTAGATTCTATGATGTCAGAGGAAAGGTAGAGGAATTGACAAAAGGGAACAGATCTGTTACATTAATTTCTTTAAAAGCAAAAATGTAGAGAAAAGTAAACAAAAGTCAGCATGATATCACTTTAGAGTCTGGAAAACAGAGATCAGATTTATGATATCTTCCAACAGGTACATAAAAGATTTGATCAAAACAATGCATTGAACTCAACATACCAGCTCCTTCTTCTTCATGCACTCCATGAGGATAATGAAGAGGTGCTGTGCCTGGGTTCGGGTGTATGTGAAAGTCTTCTGGATGGTAACTAGCAACTGGTCCCTCAAAGACTCATTGATAAGTCTGAAATTCAAAAAGACAAGATTAAGTAAAAAAACCAGACATGAGTGAACACTGTAACTTCATTTCAACTTTTTTCAGGGACAAAGGTCAAAAAAACAAGAGACAACAGATCACTGAAGGTTGTTTTGGGCAGGTTTCAAGATCAGAAATTGCTAAAACCATAAGAGATAAAGTGGAAAACACTGTTCTAGGATAAAATGTTGATTGTACTGAGGTCCCTCATCTACAAAGTTTTCATATCAGTTCCCACATATTGCATGACAGAAGGTTATTCAAACTATCAGCTCAGTGTGATTTCCTAACAAAAACAAGAACCACACTGACAGTCTGAATTTGAGCGAGACCAACACTTTAAGTGAACTGATGACCCCTTTCTATCAGTGAGTTAGAAAAATTCAACTTGTAGTTAATTTTATGAAACTGGGAACATTTATGTTGTCAGTGGTTTTGATTTTAGTTTCAATATGTCAATTCACTCTACTGATGCTACCCAAGACCTCATAAGCAAACAAACAAATTTCTCTGTTCCTCACTCCACTCAAAGCAAACATTTTGTTTTTGGCCACGTTGATCTTCCTGAAGCTCAAGAGAACTCATTTTATATTCCTCCTCAATGTTAAGGCCAGTACTTGCAAAAAGTGGCCCAACAGCAGAAATAAATAGTAACAGTGCATGAAATATAAGTAATACCTATCGCTTCGTAACAAAATCCCTATTCCTCAGGAACTTTTCTGGGTGAAACATTTCAGTTCTCAATGTCAAAATTACGAAATAGTGGGCTTTAATTTAGAACAGGTATCATTTGGTCCTTCTATACTACCAGCAGTTTTCTCACTTAAAAATTGTATCTCAGTGTTTCAAATTAGCTAAGTTGGAATATTTTATGGGATGAGTCATCCAGTGGAGTGAAAATCAGAGAATCTTCATGTCTCATACTTTAGGCCAGAGGATAAAAACTTATTTAGTCCTGCAGCAACTGCAGAGAAATATCAGGAGGAGCAGTTACCTAAAAGCCATTGTTAGCTTAGGGCAGCTGCTTTGGGAGAACAATGACCAAATCCTTCATTGTTGCATACTATTGGCTAAAGGTGCCTGTACTACTCTGCAGTGAAGAGGCACAAATGAGACTGCAGGATATTCATTACAACACTGTATTTCAAATCTGATTTTATTATCTAGTCTTTACACCTGCAGCAAACGTTGTTAGAAAAGACAACAAATGGGAACGGGAAAGAAGTGCATGGAAGTATATAGAAGATCTGACATATGGAATGCATATGTTCTCTACTACGTGAATTTGATTTTGGCAGTAAATATTCCTGTTGAGTAGAACTTTGACTTCAAAAAGAAGCCTGGAAGGCATATGTCAATGCGTTTGCATTAAAATGAGTTTACATGGGATTTTAGACCATGCTGTGTGGACGGATCACTGTTCTTTCTATGCCTAGCTTCTTCTGTTGTCTTCTGCTTTATCTCAGACTCCCTCTGAGTGGTAAGTCTTCCTCTGCACTTCCTGCTTTCATCTATGAGCAGTCTGGCTCCTGGATGTCCTATTTTCTGGGATGCTGGAGAGGTAGCAATCCTGCATCTACTGTTCATGCATTAGGCAGCATGCAAGCATACTCCTTCCCTGCAGCACGACCTGCCTCCCTCAGAAAAAGGCAACACATTGATGAGTTAAAACTTACAGCCCTCTTGGTGGACATGCTGGTGATGGCAGCAGAAGAGTTGCTGAGTGTGAATTACAAGAGAGATAACCTGACCTTGCTCTGTACAGGAGCAAGGATGTTGCAAGCACATGGGGACATGAAACAGGATGTCAAGAATACAAGTAGAAATGTAGGACTCTGTGCTAAAGAGAATCAGCTTGGAAATACTGATACCTGGACAAACACTAATATACTTTGAGTTGCAGGCTAGTAGGTAATATATGATATAAATTCTGATTTTAGGCTCTTGAAAAAAAGGTGTTTGAAATTTGCTTTAATAAAATTGAAACAAAATGGTGTTATCACTGTATTTATAAGTAGATCAGAACTATGCAATTTTCAATCCTTCAAATGAAGAAATTAAAAAGAAGTTATCCACAATGAACAAGTTTCCTAGAAACATCACCTGGAGAAGCTAAAGAGATTTATATAAATAACTAATTTCCTTGGAAACTATATATGAAAGTGAAGTATAGAAAAATTATATGAAAAAATACATGGACTTGGAAGATTCTCAAAAATTTCAGAAAACATTTCCAAATTTTCTGGAATGTAAACCATCCCACTTTCTTATAATAATCTAATTTTCCTTAAAAAATGTGTAGAATCCAAATCTGAAATTTCATTTCAGAAATTGTCTCTCTTTCAAGCCAACACACACAGAAAGCAAGAGAAAGTTACACTGAGTGAAAGCAGAATTGTCTCTTCAGAAACCATCATTTTTCTTTCTTGAATCAAAGCTCTCAGAAACTCTGTAATAGCATTAGTTTAAGCAGCACGAAAAGCAAACTTCATGTGAAGGATACAGAATTATAAAAACCCAAAAATTCAAGGAATGCTTCCTTAACTACAGGGTAAAACATCTGTTGAAGTACTGCTGCTCAGAAACTTCCTGTAGTCATAATTTGATTTATGTAGTTTTCTACCCTCACTAGAAGTTTTTCTTTAACATCTCCTTGGTCTGCAAATCTACATCAAGCCTATTCAATGTCTTTGTGAGATCAAAAACTTGAAGTGATTATAATCACAAACATAAACAAAAGAGCAATCTTTCCACTAAAGTAATCATAGCTTTGTTTGCACTGGAATCAGTTATATCAAGAATGTGTCACTTTTATTCCTCAGGAGTCTATAAATATTAGAAGCTATCAAATCGAAGTTCCCAATTGTGCAGTCCAGCCAGGACAAACACAAACTGTTCCATGCTATTAAAGGCTAAATCTATGAGGCAGACACCAAATCCAATTTGTGTTAAACAAGTAATTTTACAGAGTACTGTGAGCAAAACAACTGTGACTTGCAGGTGGGTGGATGACTTATCTACTTTGCAAACACCACTACATTTCTTACACACACACACACCTTAAATCCATACTTTTTCAAATCAAGGATTCCTAGTTTTAGATTCAGGAAAAGAGACGGGCCCACTTTACCAGACTGAAACACTACACTTATGACTTCCATCAAAGTCAGCATAGACTGAACAGTGTCAGAAGAAGACAATAGTTTTATAATCTTTCTAGTTGGCTTCAGTTCTAAAAATATTTTGCAACATGACAGTAAAATCCTTTTTGGGGCATTTTGATGGCATGATTCTCTGAATTCCACTTACTTGACACGGAAAGAATACTGCTCCTGCCTAAACAAAATGTACTACAAAACAACCACGTAACCTGTTCTTTTTCTTCCTCATGTAGTTTGAAACTATTCTTTCATTCCCTAAATATATAAGACATGGCCATTATCCTACCAGTCCAGGTCTATTTAGCTTTTTTTTTCTTTCCCAGAGATTCCAGATTGAATTTAGGTAGCTAATGTCAAAAATCTGCCATCTAAAGTAGAGCTATATACATTTACATTTATTTTCAGAACAGAAATTTAGTTGCCTAAGAGTGTGTGGTGTTTGCTTGTTTTCAGAAGATGCCAACCTTAGTTTTGACACATCAGATTATCAGAACTGAACTGTATGAAAAGTCAGGATCTTGAATTTTAAGAAAAAAAACCTTGCATGGGCTCAAGGAGTTAGTCAAGAGGACCCCCTGGGAAATGGCTCTCTGGGCAGAAGAGCTGCTCTGGGAAATTGCCCTCAAGGAGCAGAACAGAGCTGGCAGATCTCTAAGGACACTTTCCATATAGCACAAGAATGAGCCAACCCCAGGTGAAAGAAATAGGGCAAGGAAAGCAAGAGACCACCATGGAGGAGTTGAGACCTGCTGGTTAAACTAAAAAAAAAGCAGAAAATGCACCATCAGCAGAAAAGTACAGGTAACCTGAGAAGAGTTTAGGGACACAGCCCAGATGTGCAGGATGGGGTGACGAAAGGCAAGACAAAGAGGAAGCTGAACTTGGCAAGGGATACACAGGATAACAGGATGGGTTTCTACGGGTGTCAGTGAGAAAAGGAGGGTTGAAGAAAGCATTTACCGCATGTGGTAAACATGCTTGCAAACTTGCAATGATGTACAAAGAAAAGGCTGAGGTATTCGACAACTCCCCAAGGCCAAGTGCAAAGGCCTGCATCTGTGTTGGGACAATCCCCAAGAGCAGCAGAGGCTGAGGCATGAACAGGTCACAAACAGCCCTCTGGAGAAGGACCTGCTGTGTGAAGGGATGGACGAGAGCCAACAGTGCGCACTCCCAGCCCAGAGAAACGATCGTGTCCTGAGCTGCATCCAAAGCCCTTGTGGGCAAGCAGGGCAAGGAAGAGGATTCTGTCTCTCTGCTCTGCTCTGATTAGACCCCACTGCAGTGCTGCATCCAGCTCTGGGGTCCCCAGCACAGCAAGGACATGGACCTGCTTGAGAAGGTCCAGAGGAGGCCTTGTTGTTGATCAGAGGGCTGGAACACCTCTCCCGGGAGGAAAGGCTCAGAGTTGGGGATGTTCAGCCTGGAGAAAAGAAGGCTCTGAGGAAACCTTATTAAAGCCTTTGAGCGCTTGTAGGGTGCCTGTAAAAAAGATGGGGACAGACACAGGAGCAGGGCCTGTTGTAATAGAACAAGGTTTTTAAAATTAAAAGAGTGTTGATTTAGATTAGGTATAAATAAAATGATGTTTACTATGTGGATGATAAAACAATGAAAGAGGTGTCCCAGAGAGCTGTCAGGTGCCTCATCCCTGGCAACATTCGGGGTCAGGTCAGACAGGGCACTGAACAAGCTGATCTACTTGAAAATGAACTTGCCAGGGAGGAGAGGGCAGTCAGATCTGATGACCTCTAAAGATGCCTTTCAATCAAAACTTTTCTATGTTCCTATGATTCATTGTTTAGGATCAATCAGGAGAGGCCACTT